TGTCGTTAAAATTTCGTTGGAACAAAGTTACGGAAAAATCAATTAACAAACGGAGACGTAACAATATCAACCAACAATTGGTTCAGTTATCAACGCTATTTTCAAATTTTGAACAACTCGACTTTCAAGATCTACATATGCCGATGTTTTCGTTTATCAGCGTTATATTTTAAGACCTGTGCAAGAACTCAGCTAACAAATGTTTCGCATATAAAAGCTATATTCAAGTTTTGTACACCAAAAAACCTTTCAAGAACAAAAATAAGTAAACATTCTTGGTTCATAGGAACTACATCTCATACGAAAAAAGTAAAGAATAACTTATATCTTTCATAATATAATATGTATGTGTTAGAAATCCTGGAAAATTTTGTTAATTAATATATATTTTAAATCTTTGGTATCTCACAGGTGTGGATTTTTTTTTCTCTTCAATTACTGTCAATTATTTTGCAGGTAAACGAAAACAGAGTAGGCAGTAAGAATTCAGATGACATAAAGCACTGTACAGGCACCTTAAAAGTATATTTTTTTTTAAAAAAAGTTACAACACGCATTTTAAATAGTAATAACAAGTCAGCCCGGTGAAAATAATTTGCAGAAAAACGGTAGTGCCATCAACACTCGTTAGAGTTGGGGTTTTAATATGTTTACAGACAATAGTGTTCTATACAAACTTTCGGAAGTATTCGGCATTCGTCGATGTCTAACAACAAGAATAGGGTTAGCTTATTTGTAAAATTAAAGAAAAAAGCTGAAAACGTATACAACTGTTTCTCACAAGGTTTTGTTTGTTACTTTCTTGTTTCTGCACTATAATCCCTAACAAGCTTTTAATCTGCTTTCAAGGATAAATTATATTCAAACCCACGTATGTTCATCTTTCAAAATTCAAGTAAACGAGAACCAAGATGGCTCGTATTCTGAAAGCATAACGTGGCTGTTTGTCAATTCAAAATTATCCATTGTAGAGGGATTACTTGTAAGTTGTATAGGCTTTTTGATTTCATCGTTTCGGATTGGATAGGTTTGACGGTTTCGTCTGCGACGTTTTTGACGAAAGTGTTTTGTGAGACTTAAAAGAAAGAAGTGAAAGCGGGCACATGCTTAATTCTGTTTGGAATTTGTGCCGCGCTTGCCCCATGCCTACAGACGAAAAGGTATGTTTTCATGTAGATGTATGGATTGAAAAAGACGAGACTCATTCCATCGCGTGTTCATATATGTATAATTGTATTACCATACTCGTCTGTAGTTAGTTGGCTTGCTTTCATTACTCATGTGTGTTACAAAAAAGTTTGCTTTGAAATATGAAGTTAGAGTTTTAAAAATTAAATTTAAACCTAGGGCTTAGCGGAACCTTTCTGCTGTTTGTATATAATTTATTTAATTTTTAAATTTACTTATTTAGGGTTCAGAATATTTTGGGTGTGGTAGTGACATAAACTTTATCATTTTTTTTGTAAGTATTTGAAATAAATACTTTATTTAACTCATAAGCCTTAACTTGTTCAAGTTAAAAATATATAATGTAAAATCAAAGTAGAAAATAATTTTCTTATATGTTGCTTTTAAATATTTTCATTTTCCTAAAAACAGGATTTATCTGTATGAGCTGAACAAATTTTTTTTCTCATTCTCAAATATAATTAAGAAAAAATTAATTGATATCTTTAAAAGGAATTACAACTGTAAGTTAAATATAATATGTTATTACTGTAGTTTTCAAAATATTTAAAAAGAAAAAAAAGTTTATAAAATTTAGAACTTGAACAAAAGATAAACCTATGGTTGTGTTTTGGGCACAGAAAAGACTGAAATATGAAAAATCTGAATTACCCGAGTCTTTTCACAATCCAATTTGATTGAAAATAGGGACAAATTAACAATTGTTCAAGATCAAATTTTTCACAAGAAATTTCTTAAACTTTCCCAAATCAGGTTTTTCTTTTGCAATAGCACACCATGCACAACTGTGTCTAAGAAAAGTTAAAAAATTAAAGCCACCCTTTATTCTCTAGAAAACCATTGATTCTATATTAAACTCTTGTAAGATACTTGCCTCCACTACTACATGATGGCAAATCATTCCATAAGCCAAAACTCTGAAAAGAAAATGGAACTATCTTAACTGGAACATTGCCTCTTTCCCTGTAAAAGTATTATAATCTGTTTTCTTGTCTGGTTGTCTTCAGGATACAACACAAGGAAATCAGAAGCTTTTATTCTATTAATCCTTTCTATAATCTTGAAGAATTAAATAAGATTACTTCTTTTCTTGAGTGAAATATATTTCTAATATTAATATCAATATATTTCTATAAGATAACCCTTCACTCTCACAAATTATCCTAGTAGCTTTTCTCCTATTCCTTTTCAGTAAGTGAATACCCTGTCCAAGATAAGAATGTACACTGTAATATTCCAAAAGAGGCCTAACTATTGATTTGTATAAAGAGGTAGTTACATAATTTGGATTGGAATCATCATGTATATAATAACATCCTAAAATTTTGTTTGATTTGCTACTAGTCACGAGCACTGCCTTGATGACTTGAGTGACTTATCCAACACTTTTACCAAGCTAGCTTAATATTCTTCAGTCATGCTATTGAGTGGGTGCCCATTTATATTGAACACGTGATTAAAATTATGATAATCCAAATGCCTTATCTTACATTTACTAGGATTAAAAGTTATTTTCCAATTTATGTGCAGTCCTTTAAAGCATTTCAAAAAGTCTATAAAAGGTTTGAGATGGATCAACTAGGTAATGAAAAAACTTTATTATAATGTACAACATTTCGACAAGTCATTTTACTTTTTTTTTCAATGGGTCAAGAATAAACTAAAATCATTGTAATGCATATTTTACAGAAGGTTTCAGAGTTGGCAAAACAACTATCAGAAATATTCTACCAAGATAAGGTACTTACCTCTTTCAGTATGAAAAATATGCCAATTGGTACAAATGAAACTTCAGCAAAGGCTTAAATTTTATGATGTAAACAATGTTGAATAGAAATAGTTCACAACCACTCTTACCAAGACAGACAGTAGTGCATAGGATAGCTATAAGTGCCCAACTGCAGTAGTTATGTATAACAAAATAATTACAATTATAATTAGATCTTGAATAGTGGGCTGGTGCCAGAGGATTGGAAGTTGACTAATGTTAATATCTTTTTAGGGGAGGGTGTAAAAATTGTCCCAGTAATTATAGGCATATTAGTTTTACATCAGTGGTGGAAAAAGGTTTTGAAAGCCTAATAAAATATACTTTGGAAAGTTATTTAAGAAAGTTTAAGATGGTTGTCAAGCATAATAGATGATAGGAAAATGATAACGGAAGCTGTGGAAAGTAATGGATAGAAGATTTGACCTATTAATACAAAGAAATACTTAAGAGTTGTTGGTTATAGCATTCTTTTGGAAAAGATAAGCACTTCAATGTTTTTAAAGTCTAGAGTTCTTACTTTGGTGTACTTTAGTTAGTTGAGTTGGAACTGAATACTTTTAGGATTTGGTATTGTAGGTACAACTGAGTGTAAAGTTATAACATTAGGTTTAATTTTAAATCATTAGGCTTTTTTTTTTATGTAACCATTGCTACAAATGTAATGGACTAAAATAAAATGCTGCTACATCCAGGGTCGAACAAAAAGAAAAACAACAGTTTATTAAATCGAAACAACAATAGAAATCTAAAATAAGTTTAAACACTTACAAAAAATACAGTAAATCCATGCCTGGCCAGAACTTAATACAAACATTACTAAGTAATAGAATACGAGTATCAACATTATTAATTTAAATAAACAAAGGAATTAGGATAAAGAACCAGAAAAAGAAAAACTTAGATTCCAATATTAAACCACTTCTCGAGATCAATAACAATGTCAAAAAACAATCAGAAATAATTTGTTTTAACTACCAAATTGACATAATCTTTCACAACATTAATATCTATACATCATTGCTAGGAAGCTTGTGTCAGTTTTATAAAACAAACGTACTCAAATTCAATGTGCTCTATCTCACATGAGTACTGGGTTATATGATAATAAAACTATTAAATATTAGTTTCAAATAAAGCTTTTCACCAGAGTTAGCTAAGTAAAATGGAACAGTCAGCTTGATATCACTTGGAGAAAATCCTGCCTTACTAATCTTTTGACTGTTTTTGAATATGTTACTGCTAATGTAGGTGACGGTAATGGTGTGGATTTGGTGTATCTAGATTTTCCAAAAGCATTTGACAAGGTTCTACATAAAAAGCTTGTTAAAAACTTTCTGTAGGTGTGGTTGGTAAGTTGTCTCATTGGATAGAAAAGTGGCTGGATGGAAGCAAACAGTGTTGTTGTATATGGAGTTTAGACTAGTTTTCTGTCACAGATAAGAGTACCACAAAGTTCAGTGTTCAGACCTTTGTTCTCTCTGATTAATATCATTGACATAGATGAAGGAATGGTCAATAAATTATGTAAATTTGTTGGTGATATTAAGTTCTTGGGTATTTCAGACTGTGAGGATGCTGCTGGTTTATTAAAAGATTTAAATTATATGATGAGTTTGGTGAATGAATGGCAGATGGGTTTTAATAATATTAAATGTAAGGTAATGCATGTGGGTTATCATAATTTGAATTATAGGTATAAAAAGGAACTTAGTGTTATAGGTGATTTGTTTTTTAAGCCATTCAAACAGTGTGCTGTTGCTAGTAGTGGGGGCAAGTAGGATTTTAAGTTGTAGCAACAGAAGTATTGAATACAAATATAAAGAGGTTATAATTTTATTGTATGGGTAGCTGATTAGGCCATATTTGGAATATTGTGTTCACTCTTGTAACTTAGAAAGGATATTGAATTGTTGGCAAGGGCTCCTAGGATGACACCTGGAATGGAAAGGTTGTCACATGATGACAGATTAAGATTTCTTTTGAAAAAAAGAATTTGAGGGGATCTAATTGAAATGTGTAATATTATCAATGGATTTGATAGTCTTGGTGCATTGTATTTTTTTTTTACTTAATGGCAAGAATGATGGGACTAGAGGGCACACGTATATATATATTTTGGTAGGATCGGAGTCGTCATCTGTTAAGACAGCGTTATTTGTCTAATATGGTATTAGGTATTTCTAGTAGGTTGCTTTGAGATGGGGTGGAAGCAGTACATTTACAGGAGTTTAAAAGAAATGTTTTACAAATATTTGAATGATAAGGGCTGACCTTGAGTTTGTTTTCCATATATTTTTTGTAATAGTTTCATTGTCTTTAAATGTTATGTTTTGTTACAAAGAAAATTAGAAATTGATTGATTTTCTTTTTTATTATTATTACTGATATTGTCAAATCAAAACAACCATTTGTGTTTCTTGATACTAAGCATGGCCAGTTTACTGAAGTTTCATTGTAATTTTATTCTTCTATTAATCTATTTAGGAACATGTTTTCACTTTTTAAAGAGGGTTTTGAAGCAATGCATTTTTTTCATTTAGGTTGATCAACCATTCTTACTCTTTCATCTCATCCTTTAGTTTTTAAAAGTCAGTTTTCGTGAAATCATGAGATTACACATATTAACTCTTAAAACATTAATACGGTGTAAACATGTAAAACAATGGTGCTACTTAGTATTAACTGAAACTTGTATTTTTTATAAATAGGGGATTATAAAAAGAAGGGACATAAGTGAACATCTCATGTTATAATTCAGAAATAATTTGTATTCTGTATGTTTATATAATACACACACACGTCTGTATAAGTAATGTAATATTTACCACAAAGTAATTTTTTTGCATTATGGAGTTGATATTTAAAAGAAGATTGAAGGAATAATTTCTACTTATTTTTAATTGAAGTTGAGAAAAGTGACTCAAAACTTGTTAGTTTAAAACATCTTTCACAGAAAATAATTGCATATTTCAGATTAGTCTGTGACTTCTAATATGAAATACAAAAAGTTACACATTCCACTTAAAAGTTTCTTTTATGAGAGAACAATATTAATCATTCTTTTATTTTGATGGATGACTGGAGATGATTTATAATTGTAGGTGGACCTTTCAAAGGCAAAAAGCCTTTGATAGTTGAATCTTTATATGACTATTTGAAAGTACAAGGTTATAAGTTTTGATTGAGGTGGCTATAACAAGAGTTTAGGGTGGAGTTCTGTCTGACTTTTTTTTTTTAAATAAATGATATATGACGTAAAGCTTTAATATGACCAAAATAGAAGTACATGTAGAATGAGGATCTATCATAACTGGAGCAAAAAGAAAGCTTTACTGCAAAGCACAAAGGCTTTGTAACTAAACTTGATATACAGGGTGTGGCAACTCTAAGTATGTTGCATTGTATTTAGAATAATATTCTTATTGTGTGTATTGTAGATACACCAACAAAAAATTGGTATTACTATATAGTCATTTAATAACCTTTATAAAGTATTTATGCACTGCTAAGTAAAAATTGGGTGAGGGTTTGGAAAAAATATATATCGGCTCTTACAAGATGTATTTATCATTCAGAATCAATGTAGCAGGTTGAAATAAATGATAAATCTGAGAATAAGGTAGACTAATGAGAAAAAAGATTGGGATTTGATGAAAATAAGTTATTTCAGTGTTTGTAAAAAGAAAAGTACATTTCGGTCAACATGAGTTAAGTCACCATCCTTGTATGCATAAGATGATATTTTAAAAACTTACTCTGAGAATTTTCCAAATATTATTTTTCTGATTTTTGTTGTGTTTGATAGATATTAAATAGAATCACTTGTATCTTTTTACTGATCTCAGGAATACTTCTGGTACATGTTGATTACATGTATTCTTTAAATTTGTTGCTATATGTATATATGCATAATGTCATTTTTGCTGTTTTATGGAAGTTTGGAATTGAGAGTTTAAAAGCAATTTTGCCATTTTTCATTTGGTTTTTAGTTATATTCATGGAAAGCTCCAGTGTCTTCATGCAAGTGATTATTCATATAAAACTATCCTGGGTATTATGATTTACATTTAATAATTGTGTATGTCTTTTTGAGATTAACGTAAAGATATGAGGCAATCCTTACAAGAGTAAAGTCAGTAAACTTTTCTTAATGCTAATAGCATTATAAGGATGAACTACAAAAGCACTACCTGGTAAAAGAGTTATTTTTGTGATTGAACCTTTTCATTCCTTTACTAAGAAAAATCCTTTCTGGATTTTCAAGATAAGACATATAGTTGTTTATATTTATGCATGAGTAATATGTTTTTTGAAGTTGGTTAATAGACATGTTGAATTCATTGATTGAAATAAATGTATAATTTATTAATGTTCCAGCTACATACAGAATATAAACAAAGCTTTACGTGGCATCAGGACTTCCAACCCACCTCCCATGAGGTTGTTAAGAAACCTCCAGAGAGTGGTAAGTCAGTTGGAGAAAAAAAAGCTTTTTCATTTAGGTGTGTGTGTGTGTGTGTGTAAATATCGTTATTTATACATTTCCTGAAAAAACTGTTTCTAGTTTTATTTTAGAATGTACGAATTAATTGTATTTTATTGTTTCTTATATGTAATTGATATAGATGTGTTTGTAGTGTTTTTTGCATTTTATTTTTCATGTGGATTTTCCATTGTGTGTGTGTGTGTGTTGTAATAACAGTGGATTTATTTTAAGGTGTTCGCTACTGTAAGTGAAATATAAAACATCTTATTCAAAATTGATGTAGGAATTTACACTAGCATATCTGTTTTAAGGTTGACATAAAGCAAATGGTAATTAATGATAAAATTTGCATATTTTCATGTGAAAATACCTGAAATGAGAAGTTGTATGGAAGTTATCTTGTGGTGTGAAATACTACCTTGGACTGTTGTAAGAGAGTAAAATTATAGTTTTTAGCACCAGAGGGATGAAAAAGATTGGAATTATTACACTTTGAGTATTCAGATCTTAGCTGGAATACTTGATGGAGTAAGGATGAGGAGCGGTGTGGTGGTTTTACCAAGCTCTTGTTGACCAACAGCATTTATTCACCAGGGAGGCGGTTGCTTTAATTCTTCATTTGTGTATTGAAGTACTAATATTAATCTTTGTATAATCCAATTCATCCTTATTGGTTAATTTTGAAGATGAAGAAGTTTCCAGGTAAAAATATTTTCACTGGACAGAAGTTGAGCACATGACATACCTCTGATTTTAATTAGATTCATGGAAAATAGATTAATCATAAAGGGACATTCATTTTTAGACAATTGTTGAAGTCATATCAGTGAATGCAATTAGTGAGTAACATATTGTACAAGATTTGTGGCTGAAAGTTACCCCTGTTTCTATGCAGATTAATACTTACACGATGATTTTTGGTAGTTGAACTACTCAGTGTATGAATAATGGAGATTGTTTCATGCAAGCCAGGGAGCATACTAATATCCTGCAGCAAACAGTACCTATGATGTTCTAGCATTAAAAGTACTGATGGAGTTCTTATGGACTCAACCTATTTTTTGAATTAACATTGGCTTTTTAAACACATTTTTCTTGGCTATTTTTTGCTTGTGGATACATCACCTTGTTGGTTACAGGATCTCTTAAAAACAAGTCAGCCACAGAAAAGTATTTAGATAAGTGCCATCAGTATTGTGATTACTGCTAGGTTAACCTATGTATTTTATATAAAATTATTGGTTTTATCCAGTTTGTATAGTTAGTCCTTTACACTGAATGTTATAACAGTTAAAAACAAAACTCTACTCAATATGATGCAATATGTGGGTCACACCAATAGTGAATGTAATAAAACCAAGTCAGTAATTAGATGGTCTGTAATCATATTTTGGAAACTAAATTTGTTATTGTTGTGATAGACTCTTAATATGAGCATAGTTTCCTTGGGTAGGTGCTTAGGCCATATCAAGTTATCACCATTGTAAAGTTTTCTGAATGCAGTATAAACTTGTATTATGCACCATAATGAATATTAAAACTTGTAATGAATGGTGGTCGTGGTGAAGTTTAACAACAATTGTGTACATATTTCTTACAGATTCAACTATGGAGCCTGCCATGCCTCGTCGAAAGAAATATCCTGAGGTAGCTTATAAGACTCATGAAGTTTTTCCATGCGATTACAATGCTGATGACTCTGGTAATGTGCTTAACAGTACGGGGGGTAATGGAGGTACTCAGTCAGAGCTGGATATATACAGAGCTAGGGTAAAAAATAATTAAATTCTTTTTATTGAAATAGTAATTAATTATCTGATGGAATTTCCTAGTGTAGAAGAATACTTAACTTGTATCACAATGATATAAAATTGAAGCAGTTTGTTATATATACACACAACTTGTACATTAGGAAGATGGTTTAATGTAAATAAATGTATTTATTTAAAAGAATAACGTGTGTCAGTCAGTCTGTGCACGTATGGGAGAGTTAGAAAGAGTTGATACAAATGCAGGCAGTTGATTTTTATAAAGAACCAATTTATCATTTGATATATTTGACAAATGTGCATGTAAAAAGTGGTACTAAGAAAGAAGCATCCTTGGAAATGATAAAAACTGCAAACTAATCTATTTTAGTTACATGATGTTATTCCTAAAAGCTCTTCAGTTCATAGCCTCTAACAAGACACTTGGTCAGTCCTTTCATTGTGTATTAAAGTATTTGATTTACTTGCTGCTCCTACAGAGATCTTGTAGGTAAGAAATAGGTATGTGTAACAAAGAGTAATCTTCTTTTGTTTGATACACATATTTATGTAAGAAACAAAGCAGTAATCTTCTTTTGTTTGATACACATATTTATGTAAGAAACAAAGCAGTAATGATCTTTTGTTTGATGCACATACTTATGTGGTTCTTACAGGCACTCTTTGCCACTGTTGGAAGAACCATTTCTTTAAATAGTTACAGTTGTTTATTTATCATACTTACAGTTCTCTCTACATTGAGTGGATTTTTTTAGACATATATTGTTGTGAAATCAGTGTTATAAAATTCTAATGATGCAGTGTGACCTTTTATTTGAACTTTTTTTTCATCTTACTATTTGTAGTCTTATTTACAGACTTCCCATACAGCAGTTAGGATATTTTGTCTGACTTATATTAAAATTGTTTCATCATTCTTATTTTTAAACTTTTTTCCATCTTGCTCTATGCAATCTTCATTAGAAACTTTCCATACAGCAGCTAGGATACTTTTTGATTTATATTAAACTTGTGTTTCTTCACTTTATTTCTTCTTAGTTTCCTCAGTAGGCCATCTCAGGCAATTCTGAATAACTTTGTGTTGAATACAGTTTCTACAGAAGAAGTTTATACGGGACATTAAAATTATCATTGGCTGTTCAGTGCCTTAATCAGAGCTGTGCTAGTGATTGGTGGTAATGTTAACATGCAATAGTGTTTTCTTGATGTTTACTTGAAAATCATAGCTCCATTACTTAAAAAAAGCCTTGTTATATGTGGTGAAACTCAATGAAGTGTAAGGATCCAGAAGTGATTAAATATTATTTTAATACTAAATTGAAAATGTTTTTTAGTCTATAGAACGAAATCCCTCTAAGACCAAAACGTCGAGCAGAAGCCGATCAGCGGAGCCAACGGTTGGTCGATCTAATCCTCATTCAGTGAGTACATAAAACATGTTTTATGTGTTTCTTTATCTGTGATAAAAGCTGTAATGTTTAGTAGAGCCTTTTGTGAGTAAATAAAGCAAGTCTTTGTGTATTCTTTTACATATCATTAAAACTATATTGTGGAGTACAGTCTGCTGCTTATTTCACCTGAATAATTTGTTGCTTTATGTTAAAATTTAAAAACATCTTTTACATGTCATTAGTATTACTGATACTACAGCTTTTTTTGTCCACATATTGTTTGTTTTTGTTGCATTCCTTTATTTTTTTTCATCTTTTGGGTGATTGGGTAGACAAAGTGCATATGATGAGTAGTATTGGTTCCCTGATAAAGTGTTTTGAAAGTTTGGTATTTGTAATATTTTTCCTTTTTGTACATGTACTTTTGTCTGGGATCTAAGCCCTATCTTGGGATTAGGAAGAGAAGATTTAAATTTACTGAATTCCAAAATGGCTAGCTTGTTCTGATGGCATTTTTTTAATGATTTTGCATACAGTTTCGTTGTTGCTGCTATCACCAAGCTTACTTTGACCAGATAATGGAATTACTTTACTCCAGTTATAGCTTGGATAAAATACCATTTTTAAATTATAGTAGTTTTAGGGTATTATATTTTCTGTATGTGTCAATATTTCATGTTCTTAATTGCATATTTAAAATAGTATAATTATTACTATTACCATTGTTACAAAAGAGTAGGAATTAAATTTTTGTCAGGGGCCTAAGAGCAAAAAAGAAAAAAAAAAAAAGAATTGCAGGTGTAAATGCTATATTTATTGTTTTTTATGTTTATTTTTTATTTATTGCTCTGTAAAAATTAGAAATGTATTATGTTAGATAACAGAACTTAAATAAACAAAATACTCATAATAGTACATGAAAATTCCATGTGTAATTTGACAACTGTGCTGGTAACAAAAAGCTGTCTCGCTGTGATAATGGCTCTTGCCATAATCTGAGAGAGTAAAGCACATTAATAAGATTAACAAGTGACAGTTTTGAAAATTAATAGCTTTAGCTGTAAGAATAAGTAGTCTGTTACAATAGGCAGTAATTCTAGAACGATAAAAAAGGGGTAATTTAGATTTATTTCATATTTTTCAACTTTTCATTTTACCCTACATTACTGATTTTGCTACACTTAGTGTTAGGGTAAATAAAATAACACGAAGAAGAAAGTTTTATTGAAAAAGCTTTTGATAGTCATTTAAGAGGTTCTAGAGGTTAGGCAAGTGAAATTTGAAAATCATAAGATGAAAAAGTACTTTTACTGTTAACGTGAAAGTCATCTTGCACGTGGACTGACTTAAGAAATGTTTCTTAAGTTCACAAACAAATCTATAATAAAATATGTAATTGAAAAATCAGATTTTTTTTTTTTTGTACAAGAGAGTTGTAATGTTTACTAAACACTTGCCTAATTTTGTGAAGATACACTCATTGCATTAAAAGTTATAGTGTCACAGTTATATGGTGGTTATAAGGTTGATCAAAATGACTGAGCTGTTTATGAAGATTTGAATATTAGCTAAGTTACAACTATAATATTTTGTAGATCTATTCAGTAAGAATTAGATTATATTAAACAGTACACAGAAATTACTTGTTAATCAAAACTAAGACTCGTATTTTATGTAAGTGATCCCTGTTTCTAAAAAGAAATTTGATTGGTGAATCATTTAACTTATTGTTACAATGGATTATTCAGTTTGTATGTGCACTTAAAAAATATTTCATTAAGGACAAAAATAAGTTTCAAATTTAATTCTTAAAGGACACTTGCAACTGAATATGATGAGTTTGCATAGTATTAGCTTTTAAAATTCCTGCTTTAAATAAATCAGTATGTAGTGATAGCAATTCAACCAATGTAAGGCAGTAAAGTTTTCAAGCTGGAACCATTTGTAATTTAGAAAATATTCACCCACATTTAAAAGAATACTGAAACTAAAAAAAATTTTATCAGTTGATGGTACAGAGTTATCCCCCACCCAGTCCCCGTAAAAATCCTGTCATTAAGGAAGAGGATAAAGGAGATTCCACAGAGTATCAGTCACAATTTGCGTGGCCCCATGATCAAGAAAGTCTGCAAGTTTCTGTAGCTCGGCGGTTTGTTTCTACTGGCTTAATTCCTGCACAACCAATCAGGAAAACAACGAGGGATTCATGTAAGCTGATACTTTCATACTTATAAAGACATTTTGTTTAGACACTGGAAAAATTACTTGTTCAAATATGCAAGTGCTGTTGAGCAAGAAAACAAATTTAGAGCATACATGGTATTTCTTTTTTTTATATCTAACAGTGGGACGATAAGGAATCATAAGATAGAAATTTGAGATTGAAGGTAGTTACTCATTTTATCTATTAAGCTTATTGTGGTCACTTTTCTTGTTTTTTAAATTAGCTCAGGTCACCTTAAGTTATTAAAAAAACTTTGTATTTATAACTGATCAGAATAGTTGTGAAATCAGTTATGAAATAAAGAAAAAGGGATGAGAAACTTCTTGGAACTTTTATATTTTTCAATAAAAAACAGGTCGATATATCATTTTACTTTCTACCTGCTATTCTTCTTAGCCAACGAGTACAAGGTTCTTCCAAGATAAATGTGAATGTTGTTAGTTCACAGTTAGGCCCATAAAAGTGGTGAAATACTAGATTTTGTACTGTTTTTACTGAAAAAATAAATAGCACATTTAAATATTTTATATGTATACATTTTAATTTTTAAAAACAGTACAAAATTTAGTATTTCACCCACATCCAATTCTTTTCAATAAACATTTTACTTCCAACCTTTTTATTTTATGGGCCTAACTGTGAACGACCAACATTCACATTCATCTTGGAAGAACCTTGTACTTATTGGTTAAGAAGAATAGCAGGTAGAAAGTAAAATGATATATCGACCTGTTTTTTATAATACTAATACACTCTTAAAGTTTAATGTGTAAACTTACATTAACTAATTCTTATTAAACATCTTTATAAGTTGTTAAGGAGAGCAGAGAGAGCTATAAAGTAAATGTACTGTTCTTCATCCCGTGCATGTTATTTTGATTGTGTTTTAACTTATATAAATAAAGATTGTTTTCACTGCGTGTTTTATATTTTGTTCAGTCTCCTCCTTTTTTAAACTCAGCCAAAGTTAGAGAACTTGGAATTACTTAATAATAGACATCTTGTTGAGCCTCCTATTATTACACAGAGCTATCCCATTGCTATTAAGCAAAGTCAGTTTTCCCTGGTTGGATATACCTCACTGGTGCAGTGTCTATGTACCATTATTACCTGTCTACATAACCTGTGAACAGACAGAATATAACCTGTGAACAGACAGAATATGAGAGTTAGAAAAAATTACCTGGGACATGTATTTATGTGCGTGTAGAAGTAAGAAAGCCAAGCATTGTCCGATGTGTCCCAAACTTTACGACAGAATGACACGTTACTAATAGAAATATGTGTAATATTTGCTTATTTACTGCTTGACTAATGTATGTGGTTATTTGTGTCAATTCCATATGTTCTACTTACCTTGTAATGACTGTACGTACATGTTGTCCTTTAACTGTAGAAAAATAGATGAAATCATTCATGTAGAGAAGAATAAAACAAAAAGTGCTATATTCTAGCTATTTCAAGAACGAGTTCAAAACATTCTACACTACCAGAAGGAGCCACAGCCATAACTGAGGACCCTGTTGCAGTCAGGTAAGGTTTTATAAATTATGGCTTACTGTGTACTTAGATATTTACTTATATGAAAGCAGCATCTTCTTTAAAAATGAAATTCTGTTAAGCTGTATTTTTATATTTACATATATGTAAGTAATATAAGAAGGTGTGCATTTTAAATATATTGTTTTTTTTATGTCTTTCTAAAATAGACGAGGCCCAAAGAAAACAGAATACAAAGCAAAGTATCGACCATTCTCTGCTTATCAGTATGTGGATGGAAATTGGAAGAAACCTCCTAAACAGAAGGTGTGTATAGATTTATTTCTGTTTTTCTTCATTAAGTTCATTAATTGTTCATGACTGTGTTTCAACATAAAATGTTTTTACCTTTAGTAACTTTAGCTGTTATGCCTAAACATTGATATAGTTATTTAATCTATAGTAATAGGTCTGGAGCTTGATTTTTACACTGTGGCATTTGTAAGCTACAGTTTGCTAGAACATTAGGATCAATGGTATAATTGTAATAAACTATACAAGCTTCCAACCAACAAAAGTGTGGATTTTCACCATTAAGAAATACTAAACTTCTAATTTTATAGTTATTGAAAGTGTCTGTTATGAACTCATCAGATATTGTAGAAATCTATTTTATCTTATTTTCTCATATTTCACAACTCTCTGATTCAAACATTAACTCTATTCATTCTTTAAAGAGTGTATAATATTAGTATTCTTGAAAATCCTTAAGTGATTAGATAAAGAATGTAGTGTTAAAAAACATAATAGGCCTAATACTAATGTCTTATGACAAATATAACTAATTAGTCTTCTAGTTTGTTTCATCTTTGAGCTGTTTCCCAGTGGAACAGTGGTACGTTTACGGATTTACAATGCTAAAATTCAGGGTTCAATTCCCTGCGGTGGACACAGTAGGTAACCCAATGTGACTTTACTCTAAAACAAACAAACATTTTTGAGTTTAATGTTTGATATAAAATATTTAGTTTTATTTAACTTGATTTTTAGTTTATCTTGTTAACCTTAACTTCAGAGTTTTGCTTTTGGTGGTGAAAGACATGCACTGAACTGATAAGGGCTTTTGAATAAATTCCTCAATTTACTATTATCAGTTTGATATACATTACTGCCCTTGTTTTGTTTTTGTTATAAATAACAAGAGATCAGTATAATCTGTAGTCCAGTATTTTCCAAATCTCCAGTTAGAGTACCTAACTGAGTGCTCTGCAGGAAGACACTTTTATACAGGAAATACCACAATATTCAATATTCTTTTTTTTTCTCTAACATTTATATGTTTTCATGCACTTACTACCCAAAATTAGTTAGAGCTCAGCCGATAACATAAAGGCCAAGGAATTTATGTTGTTAAAGGATGTTGAAATTCAGAGTGTAATGGTTGTTACAGGAATGTTATGCTTACCACTCTCCTAAGTATTGTGTTTTTTATCTGTGAAGTCTTTATGTTCTTGTAATAAATAACACCATGAGCATGTGATAGAAACAAAGTACTATAATATTATGTGTCCAGTTAAATTAAGCATTTGTTTGCTATTGTCAGTAACATTTAGTATGCTGCTTCAATCCTATTTTGATGAACATGCTTACCCTTTCAACCATGGGGGTTGCTATAATGTAATGGTCAATCCCACTATTCATTGGTAAAATGAATAGTGGTGAGGTTGTTGACTAGCTACTTTCCCTGTAATCTATCACTGTTAAATTAGGGACAGCTATCGTAGATAGCTCTCGAGCCCAGAATTCAAAACAATTCCTATTTTAATATTGAAATTGTAACTGATAACTCTTTACTAAATTCAGAACATCCTGTTTATTTTAATAAAAAACTTTGTGGTTTAATTCTTAAGTGTAAACATGTATGTTTTATAGAAATATTATGTAAACTGTGACTTATTGTTATGTGCAACAGATACACAGGAACACTAACTGAAAATAAAGTTGTTTATCATTCTACTGTTAGCCTTCATGAATAGAGTAACTTGTTAGATTTTTCCTTTGTGTAATGATAAATCATTTTTATGTTACATTATGATATGTAATATTGCCCTGTATAGTAAAAGAGCTTCATTATGTGTTTTATTACAACTCTTTGGGTTTTTAAGTTTATGAAATGTTATGTTATTTGATCTTTAATCAGGTGCTAAGTTTCTGTAAAACATTTCTCTTTCAATATGATGCACTGATGAAAAACTGGATAGATGTTAACACCAGTAATCATTTAATAGACTTTTATCAGTTCTTACTTATTATCCATGTTTGTCACATCAAACTTGAATCATTAATGTTTTATTAACTTGTCTGATCACAACATTTTTATTCATAAGGAGGTCAGTGACAAACACCGTACAGATGTTAACTTGTCTGATCACAACATTTTTATTTATAAGGAGGTCAGTGACCAACACCGTACAGATGTTAACTTGTCTGATCACAACATTTTTATTCATAAGGAGGTCAGTGACCAACACCGTACATATTAACTTGTCTGATTACAACATTTTTTATTCATAAGGAGGTCAGTGACAAACACCGTACAGATGTTAACTTGTCTGATCACAACATTTTTATTCATAAGGAGGTCAGTGACCAACACTGTACAGATATTAACTTGTCTAATCACAACATTTTTATTCATAAGGAGGTCAGTGACCAACACTGTACAGATAGTTAACTTGTCTGATCACAACATTTTTATTCATAAGGAGGTCAGTGACAAACACCGTACAGATGTTAACTTGTCTGATCACAACATTTTAATTCATAAGGAGGTCAGTGACCAACACCGTACAGATGAAACTGCGTGGTACAAAGAAGTTGCAGAGAGGTTAAAAAAAGCTGATGAGTATCGTCAAAGGTCAAGTGGTACACCTTTATATGGAGAAAGAATGGCTGCAATAATTAGTCCGAGTGATGGCTTGTGGAACCAAACAAAACATGAAGAAATAACCCCAGTACAAAGGTATAACTTACGGATAACATAACGTTTAGGGACAACAAGGAATCTATTGGTCCATCTCAGCTGTCCCATCCTGTTAGCTTAACTAAAACTATTAAATAAAATGCTTTTCCCTTTTGTGTTCTCCTTGTTTTACTTTACTCTTAAGAGACAAAATTCTGATTTACCCTGATGTTGGGTATGTTTGTATGTGTAAAGTTTTTTTTTTCTAACTCAGTTTACTTAGCTATTACCAAACTTATGGAAGAGTTGAATTTTACTTTGATTTTAATATTTTAGAGCTTAATGTCTCAAGAAAAAGAGTAGTTATCAAAGGGATCAATCAGTTTTGGTGTTTTTTTATAATAATGCAAAAACTTACTCTTAATAAAAGTGGTCAGTGTTTGTGTCATAAAGTAACAATAGGATATTTCAGGAAACTTTAACATCAGCATTATTGAGTGTGCACTGAAAGCAACTTTCTATTATTAACGAGATCTGCAAGCTGGAATTAATATTTATGTTGAAATTTGCATCTTGTTGTCAAACATTGGACATGAAAATATAATCATTTTATCTCTAAAGACAAATTCTATTGTTTTAACGGTTCGCGAGGTATGCCAGGTGCAACAGCAGTATGACCCATAAGCTTTTGTTGGATTGTTCGTCATAGTCTTTAAGAAAGAACAAATATACATATTAAACTTAAGTGATTATTCTTAGTACTGATATTGTATCCTGAAGCCTATTAATACATGTACGTGAAAATCATTTTTAAATTTTCAGTCTAAATGATTTTTATTGTCATCAGCTGGTAAACAATTGTGAAATTGATTGAACCTCTTGGAAACTTGTTTTTGTAGGTATTTAAATATAAGCTATTTTAAGCTTTTTATTTACAATCAGGATAACTTGCTCTTGCTGTAATACAATAAGATTGTAATTCAAAATCTCACATGTAGAACACATTACATGTTTCTCTAGCTTTCATAAGTTTGCATTTTTAACTTATGTTTTAAGAACTATTAGTATACATAAATTGCTTAAGTTATGTATCATGTATTTTAAAACTTGATGTACAAACTCTTATGAGTGTAAAGACTAGAATTTCAACATAGCACTATAAAACCTGCTGTACAAGTTTCTATGACTGTAATTAGTATTTTATATAATTACTTACCTGTTTCCTACACTAAAGTTTCCAGATCTTTATGATGTGTTACAAATTTATTAGAGAGTCACAACATGAAGAAAAGTCTATGCTCAGACCAGCTACTGCCCCACTTGTTCATCGTAGGGAAAAGAAGCATACAAGGGCAGACACAGTGTAAGTTTTTGTCTGCATATGCTTGGTTTAACCTCATTTTTATTGAAAATCATCATTAAGTATTTCTTTAATACTGTTCTTTTTGCTCAAATAGTATGCCATTAAATTCATAAACAATGAATCAAAATTTTTAATTTTTGGGCTAATTAATATTTAAAAACATTGAAGTAACTTGAGGCAGATTATGTGTTTCTTATCACAATTATTATTTTTTAACCATTCTTCCAAACTAACAATACTCCATTATTTCAATTTTGACACAAGTTTTCTTTCCTCCATAATAAATATTCCAGGCATTATAAAAAGTGAAATGATAGCAATGTTTTTAATACAACTGTTTATTTTACAGTAACAGTGTTTGATCACAATTATTAAAAAAGAAAATAATGAGGAAATTTCAGTTACATTTCTTTATGGAATTCTTATGATAACAAAATTATGGATCTTTTCTATGTCATTTTTAAGGATAGAATCATGAATATTCAAGTTAAAAGTTAAAAAAAGTAAGATTTTATTTTACTATTGTGTATGCATGTACTATAAGTATTAAAGTGTACTGATCACTAAGTCTATAAATAATCTTACCTTGAATATCATTGTTTCATTAAATGATATATTTAATAATACAAACTGTCCAATTTCAAACCAATGATCCCTGTACTTTTGCTTACTTGGTATGTAAAATAATGAATTGGCTGTGTATGTAAACTTGTACTCTTCATCAATTGTCTTGAAAATGAGGATGAACCTGTTATAAACATGAACAAGTAATAGCTGGGACGAGCACAGGAAATAGCACTAAGGTCAAAGTTTTCGATATGTAGCATCAATCGAGGCTAGCCAATATTGGGTATTAGGAAGGCAGACAATTTCCTCTTACCAATCATGTTTGAAAAATAATGGAAGAAATATTTATTGATAGATTCATACTTTGGCTACAAGGGACTTTCCTATAAAATTTCACCAAATTTGTAATTATTTTACAGAAGTAAATCAACTTTAAATTTTAGTTTATTGGGAATTGACTTAACATTTCATGTTTCTCAGAACCTTTTAAGGATTTAAAAGAATACACATTAAATTCCAAGGTTTTGGAACACTTTATATGAAGTTAATTTATAAAGTAAGATTATATTTAAATGATTAATTCTTTACAAATGATGATCAAAGAAAATTTTCTTATAAATGCATAGGCCCTCAAAATATAATCAGTTGATTTTAACAAACTTGTTTGTTTTTGGTTAAGTATAAAGCTAAACAATGGGCTATCTGTACTCTGCCCACTGTGAGTAATGAAACCTGATTTTTACCATTATAAGTCTGCAGACTTACCACTGAGCCTTTGGGGGCTTAACAAACTTTTAGTAAGTATTAGATAATTAAATAGTTATGATGTGCATACTTTTTCAAGAGCACGAAAGATTAGTTACTTTTGTTGCGATAGAAACATTGAAGCTACAATGTGCCATTTTATGTCTCTTCGGTTTAATATTTAAGGAAGACTAATGGATGATGTTAAACATTTTTTTTTTTTAAATATCTTTATGTTTGTTTCTTGGATTTTGGTTAAGCACAAAGCTAAACAATTGGCTATCTATGCTTTGCCCACCCCAAGTATCAAAACCCAAATTTTAGCATTATAAGCCTGCATACTTACCACTGAGCCGGCTTAGCAAACTTTTATTAAAAATTATATATTTCATGGAATTTGACTTCAAATAATAGTTATTTATGGGTTTGTTAACAGGCAAGTACGGCGTCCAGCAAGTGCTGACTATGGGAAGATTAGAACCCCTGGATCATCTCGGGAGAGGAAAAAACCTGTAGACTCAAGACATGAAGGTAAAGTTATGTTTATTTTTTTTAAGGAATGGAGTGTTTAATAGATCACAACAATTTGTTATTTTTTTTTTTGGATTAAAGATGCATTTCTTAATGAAATTTACAACAGAATCCAGAGGAAGTTTACTCTTCACATTATGTAACTTGTATTACAAAATCATGCATTGTCAGTGTAATAAAAAAATACAAAAACTATAAATTAATAAGATCAATAAAAATTATAGATATATAAATTAAATTTAAAGAAAAAGATTGAAAACTTATGTCTTTAGAACCAGTAATGAAGAAACAAAAACATCAAGTACTACCAAAATAAATATGTTATAATGAAGTTAGGAAATTACAGAAAATTTTAAAGAAAACTATATAGATAAGCCAAATTTCAAACTGGAAATTGCCATTTTATAATCTTTCAGAAGAACCGTATCTTTTGTCTTGTTACATATTTAAATGTTAATGATCTCTTCGGAAGAACAGTATCTTTTGGCTTGTTATGTATATTTAAGGGTTACCAATCTCTTCAGAAGAACAGTATCTTTTAGCTTGTTACATATTTAAGGGTTAACAATCTCTTCAGAAGAACAGTATCTTTTGGCTTGTTATGTATATTTAAGGGTTACCAATCTCTTCAGAAGAACAGTATCTTTTAGCTTGTTACATATTTAAGGGTTAACAATCTCTTCAGAAGAACAGTATCTTTTGGCTTGTTATGTATATTTAAGGGTTACCAATCTCTTCAGAAGAACAGTATCTTTTGGCTTGTTATGTATATTTAAGGGTTACCAATCTCTTCAGAAGAGCAGTATCTTTTGGTTTGTTATATATTTAATGGTTAGCAATCTCTTAAGAACAGTATCTTTTGACTTGTTACATATCTAATGGTTAGCAATCTCTTAAGAACAGTATCTTTTGACTTGTTACATATCTAATGGTTAGCAATCTCTTAAGAACAGTATCTTTTGACTTGTTACATATCTAATGGTTAGCAATCTCTTTAGAAGAACAGTATCTTTTGGTTTGTTACATATTTAAAGGTTAATTTTTAGAACTGAAAATTTATTAGAAAAAAAAAAAAGCAAAATTGCTTCCGAAATTTGAATTTGTTTTCTCCGAGTTATTTATAGATATACTTAAATCTAAAATCATCCAAGATTCATATTTCCTCTTTAATTTTGAACAACTGTTAACTGATTTTGCTTTTAATCTAACAGGTAAATTTTTGATACCGAGTATGATTAGGATAGAAATAATATTTAAAATTTTCTGGATTTCGCTTCATTGAAAATGAATATATAAATTACATATTTAAATTTTGTCACCTCTACAACTTCTTCCACATTCTATTAAGATCTCAAAATATCACATTTTAATATGAACATAAATGTAATCTTACAATTTGTTTTATGTGGATAAAAACACCTGTACGACAAAAGAAGTAAAATTTATGTGGCTGTCACTGCATTTTCATAACACTGACAGGTTACTCACAGATTTGATGAAGTAATACAGTTTATGATTTGAAATAAAAGATAAAACAATTTAGATGATGTACACTCACAAAATAGTCTTCAAGCCCTATATAATGATATTCAGAAATTCTGTTTTTCTTCTGGGTTATAAAAGTCACAATGTTAAATCTAGGCTTGCATCAGTAACTTTCTGACATCTGAAACAACTGAGATTGCCAATCTCTCTGCTATGTTTAACTTAACAGGCTTACTAAAATCTTTTTGTGGACTCTATGAATTGTGATGTCCTATACTTTGCTGAATTCTCAGTTGTGGTTTACAGTCTGTTTTTATAGAATAAAATGGTTTGAGTGCATTCTGCTTGAGAATATTTTGTGTAGAAATTACTCTACAATACTGGTAATAAGTGAGAACTAGAGACTAATCGTAAATTATGTAAAGAACAACAGTATATATTAATAAAACAAAATAGTCATTGCTTATGATAATTATTTGACAATTCAGTATCTTTAAAAGAAGAAAATTTATCTAATAATAGCTTTATATGTATAACTGAATTACAATCAGATATTTTAACATATTCATTGTTTCATATTTTAGTATTGAGCACATGTTTAAAAATGTGTTTTATTAACCCTTTCACTACTGGATCTGTCTTCATAGGCTTTGATTTAGAATTATTTGTACTTCTAGAAGACATTTTAATGTGAAAAAGTGTTTTTTTTTATTCTGTTATTTAAATTATCTGTTTTCTGAAATTCAGTTTTTTGTTATATCCTAATAAATTTGGCCAAAATTCAGCCAGTGTGGAAAAGGTTTAGTGAAATATTTTGTTTACTTTTTAGGATATTGAGTTTATTCTTAAACTTTTTTATTGTAAAGCAAAACCTGCTGTAGCTGCAGTTTTGCCTTCTGCTGGCCCTTCTTTGGGGAGAGAGAAACGATCACCTTCACGGACAAAACCACGTAAAGGTATGATAATTCATTTTTCTTTTTCCCCTACTAGAAATTGATAGAATATAGAAATTATGTAACAAATTCTGCACAAACAATGGTAAAATGGATTAATATAAATTGAGCATATATAGTTTGAAGTATGACATCAAACACTTTTTTTTATTTTGGCTATCTTACAGTAGAAATTCTTATTGATAAAGTATATATTAATTTGATAAGTCAAACCATCCATTAAAATGGGTTTAAAAATTTTTATCTGAAAAACTGTTTGTTACTTCACTGTATTAACTCTCACTACGGGCTCGGTCCCAGGTACTGACCTCGTAACCATTTTGTTCTTGTTATAGTTTTCATGCAATAACTTTTAATACAGTAAGCATATCTTTACAAAGTTTTGCAGATTATCAGTAAATATTACAAGGCTTTTGTATCCAAAATATATTTTTTTTATTAAGTTTAAGATTTTTTAAGTAATGTTTTTCTTGTGCATTTTTTTTTTCGAATGTTGACTATCCAGCATGTAAAGTAAGTTTAATTGTGAGATGAAGAACACTTTTACACAGCAGAAAATTTTCAAATTTCACATGCAAAATCTTTATAATCTTCAGATAATTATCAAACGTTTTTTCTGGAAAAAACTTTATATATTGTCATGATATAAAAAGATTGTTTGGTTTAAATATTAGTGATTGATTTATATTTGTATATAGATATTATATTATCTTTAAGATTTTTTATAATAAGAGTTAAAAACTGACAATTGTAGAAGGTTTTGTTAATAACTAATTGGTGTTGAGAATATAGAAAGTGACCAGACGACTATGTAATAGAGATATAAATAGCGTGAGATGAGCGGGAAGCAGCAGACAGACAACAATAGACAGATAATAGCAAAAGAGAATATAGCTGTGTAAAGTTAAGTACTGCAAAAGTGATAGGCCTAACAACTGACATAGGCCTAATGCTTAATATGTTAGAGTGAAACTAACAGTTTAAAAAAAGATAAGAAGGATAATTTCATTCCGTCAAAGCATGGTTCTAAAGTAATTGAATCAGCCTGGGTACACTTTGACAAAAAGGAACAGAGGATCTTCAGAAGAAAGAAGACCAAACGAGTTACGGTAACTTGCACCACAACTGTAAGTGAATCACACACAGAATACAGGTACGATAGTAATATAGAGAAGATAGTTCGACTTGTCAACTGAAATTCTAAAGTAACTGAATAGGCCTAAGTGGACTTTTGACAAGAAGAGGAGAATTATACGTATACTGATATGCCTGTAATCTCTATAGTGTAAACACTTTGTTGTACATACGTTTAATTTGTTACGAATATATATATATATATATTATTTGAAAACAAGTAGAGTGTGTGCTGTTTATTCATCATTGAATTTATCGCTAACAAGTCATGGACACCTACTTTAGAAGAATCCTAAGCCCAACAAAAACATAGTATGTATTTATACTATTAAGAAATATAAGTAAAAGGCATTTATTTTGACAGTTGGCAAAAAGAACTTGTATATATATATACACACACTTTTTTTCTAATCTGACATATATTATCTGTTATTTATTTATATGTCTAAATATGGGTTTAGTTGATTTGATCAACCTTGTAACCACCATAAAAAATTTGGAAATAGATATAAATTATGCATTTTTTGTTATAGAATGACTACAAATTATAACATGAAGACACAAGTGTTTATTCTATATAGCTTAACTTTCATAACATTATCCATTTATATATTTTTATTATTTTTTATTTTATTGATATGCCTGACTAATGTAACAGATGCTGCAATGATGCAGTGCACTCATTTTACCATATCCAAGAATATAAAACTGGGCTTTACAAAGTGACCTGTCTTGGCTGTGTTCTAGTGGATCAGTATTTTGTAAAATACAGAAACATTTTGGTTATATTGCACTATATATGTATATACATTATTACTATTTACGAACAAGTTCTTAAATTTCAGTTGTTTCTCTTAAAACATAGAACAATAAATAAAGTATAGAAAACAGTTATCTCTTCTAGTTACAAACTTTGTACTCATTTGCTGCTTTCATAAGTTGCTAAGTCTTATCAAATTTTTCACTTGGAGGATGTAAATGAAAATATTTTTTTTTAGGTTTTATATATGCATTTCAAAATAACAAAAAATAATAAATTACTATATCAATACCACAGAATTTCACTATAATTTATCAAACTTAGTAACTAAGCTAAATTTGGGTCCAAAAAAATATGATTTTTTAAGCTTACTAATGTCTTACCTTACCACTTAGGCACACAAAAACTGATATTTAGGTTTTTTTAATATTTACTTTTAAATTAAGAAATTAAGTAATGTATAATACTAAAATTCGAATTATAATCTACAACATGATACCAAACTTATTGACATACATTCATAAAATAGTAGTTTAATATAATTTTGAATGTGAGTCTACGGATGCAGTGTCATGGCCTTTGACCCGTGACCATAGGGTGTTGTGTCTTTAAGATGTACAATTTACATTTACATCATATGCTTAAGTTTAATACTTGTATTTACCAACTGTTGCAGGAGCTTTTGGTAATAGGTATTGCAAAATAAGCATTATAATGGAGGTATAGATATTAACCCTTTCACTGCTAAATTTCCCTATGTTTACAGTGCTGGAATTTCTGGTGAAAAATGCATATTTTGAAACGAGTTATTTTAAAATCCCTAAATCACCCTAAAATGCACATATATGCACTGCAAATGTTAGAAAAGAACATTAAAACAATAAACACAACATTTTAGAAGTTTTTCTACTATTTTTTTTCTTTTAATGTCTGAAATGCTTGACCGTGTGATACTTCGTGAAGCAGTCCAGAAGACACAGGGCAGGCATCGGCCCCCTCCCATCCTTACAATTCATGCATCCATGCCTGGTTTGCTTCCTCTTTGGATGTGAAGGGCTTTCACTGCACATTATACAGTTAGGCTTGTATTTATAATCTGGATAAGCCATTGGAAAGTGATGCCCTGTGAGTTGCTCCTCCCTATCCTCTGAGTTATCCTCCCTTTCCTTCCAAATTTATTCAGAGGAATAGAAGAACAGAGTTTGGTTACCACCCTTTCCCTGAATGAATGTGGCTTCATTTTTGAATTAGGGTTGGCAGTTGTGTACAGTATGTAGGAGTTGACTAGTGCTGCCTCTCTGATGAAGTGATAAATTGCGTGGTACCACTTTTTGCATTTGTGTCGATATGGGTAGCTGGTATATTTCTGGTCAAACAAATCAACTCATCCCATTGTAAAAGCAGGCCACATTTGGCATTTTCACATCCCTAAGTCCAGTCTCTGACTGCTTGGATAGAATTTGTTTCCGAGTGTAGCCATTATTATTATCGATTGTTGAGAGGAAGTTTACCCTTGCAGTGTCATGCCAGGAGCAGACAAGCATATCACCCTCTCTGTAATAAACAGGATCATCAGCTGTAACCTTGCTGGTCTAATTTCTTCTGGAAGTCCCTTTCTATTCAATTTCACAGTTCCACAACCACCAGTACCCTGTTCCTTGAGGGCTTCAAAGAGGCCAGGGCTGGAGTAGAAGTTATCAACATATAAATAGTGGCCGAATTTCAATTATCCATTATTGCCCATCAGTTTCATAACAACATTATGACCCAAGCCTTGCTCTGGTGCCACAGGGTTGTCTCTATCAGTATAAACATCCTAGTCTAACAGATAACCTGCCTTGCTCTCACACAATGATCACAGTTTTATAACCCACCTTGTGGGTTTGTTCAGTATATACTGATGAACGTATATCCGTCCCTTGAACTTTCTCATCGATTCATCAATTGTAAGTTCATGATGTGGAATGTAATACTGCTTATACAGTGGCTTCACAATGTTCATGAGAGGGAGCAATTTTATACAAAGGATCATATCCTTCCTCTTCATGTGGAACCCTTTGAGAATTTTCACAAAAATGAAGAAATGAACTGATCAGCTGGTAACAATTGTTTGGCAGTACATCTCGATAACCAGGGGACTGGGCTATACACCCCCAGTTGCCAAGTAGTCACTAATCCGTGGCTTGGAACACAATCCCATCATTATCTGCAAACCAACATAGGCTTTCATTTCATCTCAACCCAATCATTGTAGCAAGAATTTTCAGGGAGGTCCACTGGATTATCAAAGAACTCTAGGGCATAGGTGTTAGTCATCTCACAAATAAGCTGAAATGCTTCCTGAGGGAATAACAAATAGAAATAATCTACAGGGTGGTTACTGTCAGGGAAAAATGGAATCACAGGTCCAGGCATTTTGGCATAAAATGGGCACCAAATTGGGATATAATTGTCATAATCATCATCAATGACTCACTCATGATCAGCATCAACCATGCCACCTTAGCTACCATCATCATCATCATCATCACTGTCCCCATGTGCTTCATCATGTGTATTATTATTACTTACAGCATTATCTGTGTCACTGTTTTCCCAATCATCATTGCCAAATTCGTTCAATTCTGAGCCTGAATCTCATATTATTTTGCCCAATATAACCTCTGCGGCAATCCTTTGTTTTTGTTTACGTTTACCTGTTGACATGGTTCCGGTCAGCGCCCTCAAATTGGGTCAAAAGTCAAGTATTTCACAAAAATAATGCCCATGATCGAGGAAACTGCACTAAATTACGTTGTGGTTGCCTAGAAACCATGCAGGTGTGGCACGGAGTGAATTACAGACCGGTAAAGAGAACTATGTTAGGAATTTGACTAAAGTCGTGTACAGCAGTGAAACGGTTAAACATCGAATGAAATGATACTTATCACTCATATGAACTTAAGATTATTAAATTTTTCATTTATTCATGTTAATTCTTTGTTTATGTTATCAAAAATGTAAGAAGAAAGAAAGAAAGTAAAATAAATATCAACAAATTAATTTCAAGTTGTACTAAACAATGATGAAAAGCATTTAAATTTATAGAAAATAAAGTTGTGGTGTTATCCCTGCAACTATATACTAGTTGTGCTGTTATCCCTGCAACTATATACTAGTTGTGGTGTTATCCCTGCAACTATATACTAGTTGTGCTGTTATCCCTGCAACTATATACTAGTTGTGCTGTTATCCCTGCAACTATATACTAGTTGTGCTGTTATCCCTGCAACTATATACTAGTTGTGCTGTTATCCCTACAATCATGTACTAGTTTTTGCTGTTATCCCTACAATCATGTACTAATTTTGCTGTTATCCCTACAACTATACACTAGTTTTTGCTGTTATCCCTACAAGCATGTACTAATGTTGCTGTTATCCCTACAATCATGTACTAATGTTGCTGTTATCCCTACAATCATGTACTAATGTTGCTGTTATCCCTATAACTATATACTAGTTTTTGCTGCTATCCCTACAACTATATATACTAGTTGTGGTGTTATCCCTACAACTATATACTAGTTTTGCTGTTATCCCTACAACTATATATATATACTAGTTTTGCTGTTATCCCTACAACTATATATATACTAGTTTTGCTGTTATCCCTACAACTATATATATACTAGTTTTGCTGTTATCCCTACAACTATATATACTAGTTTTACAAATCTTTCTAACATTGAAAGAACAGAGAGAAAAACTGAAACACTAAGAATATTATGAAGTTACAAAACATTAGACAAACCAGGAATTTATATTTTGAAGAGAAATAACAGCCTACATAACCTTTCAATTGTCATTTTACAAACCAATTTAATTCACAGAATATTTTAAAAAATGTTTAATGCTACAATCACTTATTTCAAATTAAATTCTTTATATTATATCATTTTTGTTTTTTAATTCCATCTACTCAACATATTACCAGGCTTGATCTCTTAAGAATTGTAATTTTTAATTTTTGCAGTTTATTGCTTTTCTGCCCCCCCCCCCCCCTGGATTTACAACACTAGAAACAGGGTTTTGATACCTGTGGAGCGCAGAGCACAGATAGCTTTGTGCTTAACTACAAACAAACAAATGTGATGCTTCTCTTGTGTTGATTACACTTTATTGAAATTTTTGATTCATGAATCTTTTTTTTTTTCTTCTTACTGTTTAACTTTCTTGTAGGATGTATTTATAGAGCAGTTTTCATCAAACAAGAAATTTTATTTTCAACCACTTGTGCATCATTCTATTATGTTTTCATGTATCACTTTACCACATGTTACACAACTTCATAAACCAGCTTTATGCTTGTAACAGGACATAGATGCCTAATTTCAGTATGTTGTCAGCTGTCACCATACGAGGTTTTTTCATTCTAGAGATATAACAACAGTAATGTCTGTGGTTGAGACAATGGACTCTCGTTATAAACTTCTGTCAGCTGTGATCATACCAGATTTTTCACTCTAGAGATACAACAACAGTAATGTTTATGGTTGAGACAATAGATTCTCATTCTAATTTGTTGTCAGCTATCACCATAGCAACAGGAATGTCCATGTTTGAGACAATGGATTCTCATTTTAACCTGCTGTTGGCTATCACCATACCAGGTTTTTCAATCTTGAGATATCGCATCATTAATGTTTATGGGTTGAGACAATGGATTCTCATTCTAACCTACAGTAACCATACCAGGTTTTTCATTCTAGAGGTCCTTGTCCTGTTAGGTGAAAATGTTTAAACATTGTAAAATGCAGTATTATCTTATCCAGTATAAATTATTAACACCATGGAATGTTTGTTACTTGTCTTATGTAAAAATGTTTAAATTCTTACAAATATAGACTGTTTTATATCATTATCTTGTAACAATGTGAAATTTACTGAACTTGTAAGAAAGCCAATAAGAATTTTTCGAATTCATTAACATTCGGCAATGCAACTATAAAATATTCTATTTCTACAGACTCCTAGTTGCTGTTTTAATGAAACTTCAATATCTGAGTAACCTTGTAAATTAAAATTATTAAAGCTAAACATTTCACAACTAGATGAGCATAAATCTAATCAACAGTTTCCACATTAAGCTAATGGATTTATAACTGCAAGCTAAAGCTGAAATTCTGTTCAAACACTTCACTTGAGATACAGATTGGTATAGCTTGAAAGTAACAAAAAAAAATTGTTTCTAAAACTTGTAGTTAAACATCATGCATTTACAATATGCTAATTTCTAGAATATAAAATAAAGTTATGATCATTTCATATATAACTTATGTAATTCAGTTTTCCATGAAGTTAATGAAACTTTTACAGAAACTAGCTCAAAGACTGCTAAACTTCAAAATAATAATTATTTTAAATGTTGTATATGATCTAGCTTGGCAAATTTCAAGCATCTAAGATTTTTTAAACCTGCAAATGGAAGACCCTTAATGTTTGATAGTTGTTCTCAACTTATATGGTAGATTCCCTGAATGACTGATAGTTTTTATACATCTTCATTTGAAAGTCTTTACCTTTATATAAATTTTAATTAATCCCAAAGGAAGAAACCTCTAAATGCATGACAGAATTCTAAAGAATTAAGCTTTGAGACCACTGTATATCTGTTGATTTTTTAAAAGTGGAAGACGCTATAATTACATAATTTTAATACAGAAACACACGATGTTCATCAATACCAAGTTTTTTTTAATTCTTTCCAAACCTCTTGATCAACCATTCAAGAAATACTATCCCATTTATAAAGGTCTAAAAAAATCTGTAAGATAGAGAAGATATCTTCTAAAAATGTTCCTAAAGTTTTTCTAGCTTTGACATTTGTTTTTCCTTTTAAGTATCCAAAACAGTCATCCAAATAAAAATATACTTTATTCAACAGCAAAAGAAAATTTCATTGTAAACTGTGTTATCTCTAAGTGGTGTAGAATTTGCCTATGGGTCTTGCAATCTTTGGCTGAAGTTGGTTGCCATTATCTTTGTCAAGTAACGTACTGAATCATTCATAACTACTTGATCAAATCCCAGCTATCAACATATTGTCCATTAAAACAGTTTTTAAACATTTTGTACTTGTATCTATGATTGAAGGCTTTATTAATACCAATACTAGTTAGATATTTTGGTGAGATAACACATGATTTGACAATAAAACTGTGACCGCGTACTGCATAGAATCAAGAAGTATACCTTTTTTTTTTTGTTCTGAATGACACACAATTAATAGTGAACACATTGTGACAGAAAAGTTCTAGTAAAGTTTCACATCTACTAATTATAGCTCATGTTATCTAAAGTTTAAAATTAGTTTTTACTCCTGAAGCATAAAAGATAAACAAGATAAATAATTTGAACAAAATGTTCAATTTGGGCTCTAAGATGTTGTCTAAAGCTTTTGTGTTTATATATCTCTGAATGCTATTAGCTCTTAACTGAATTGGTGCACATGTGCTTAAAATACTGATATGAAAACTAAACATGGAACTTAGTCCACTGTCAACATGAATTCATTAAAAAAAATAAAAAGGAACAGCAGAAACATGATTAGTTTTGCACAGTAGCGTCCAGAAAGGACCAAAGATAAACATTATCAATACTAACCCACAAAATGTTGCAATACAGTAAATGGGTTCTTCTTGTAAGTTCTGGATTACTGGAAACACTACCATTTTCTAGTTTCTAGGTTACAATAATTCTGAGAGGAACTTCCCCTATCACTAAATTTCATATGAACTAGAAAAATTTATCCAAAGTTTCAACAAAAGTACAAATAGCATTTTTTTTTTTCAGTAAATCCACTCAGACATAATACTGCTATGGTTGGGCTTTCCCCCCCACCCTACTTAACAGAAAACTAAAAAAAAAATTCAAACACTTCCTGAGTTGATATGAAATATCTTTCTGGAAATAAATAAGGACCAAAGATCTATTCACTTGCCTCAGCCAGTTAGGAGCACTTCTTTAACAAATGGAACAGACAACAAAACGAACACAGCAGACAGAAAACCTCTATCCTACAAGTCCTGAGAAAGAAAAAGATACCTAGTTCTCTATCTACCTATTATACAAGAGCAGAACATTACTACACAGTAAGATGAACTTACATTAAGAACACAGACTACTACAAGAAACTACTACAGTTACATAACACTGGATGTTACAAAAGTAACAGTTGTTTTCACTTGTTTTTACTCCAAAACTGGTCAAATTTGCTTCTAGCCCGGCCCAAAACATCAGATGCCAGTGATCTTCCACTAGAGGGTGAAACAATTTGAACAGCAGGTACATCATCAGCTGTCTGAGGCTGTTTATGTTTCCCTGTAGAATAACATATCCACACATCAGTTACTTTATATCGTGTATTACTCTGTTATCTGGACATAATTCTTCTTGGTTGTTGCAGGTTATTGTATTTTATAACCACATGATCATTTGACAAAGAAATATCATAAGATGATTTCATAATTCTATTAATAATAGCTCATGATGTTATCATTAGGTGATTTTTTTTTTACCATACAGATTTCTTATGATAACTGTATGATGATTTGACTTTGCTTTTCCCAGGCAATTTAATTTCTGTAATATCATAAGACTGTACGCCTACTAATGCACAAGTTATAACGAAAAATTAATAGAACATAAAACAGACCTGAATCAGTTCTTGGAACTTCTTTTTGCACTGGTAACATCTCTGATCCAGGTGTTTTCTTGTGGTCCATAACTGAATCTGGGAGAGTGTTCAGTTCCTTTTGGTCTTTCAGTAAATCAGACTGACTAGGCATTTCTGACCATGTGGTAGGAAGATTATCAGTATGCATGGTCTCTGGTTGTGTGGCAGCATGTTTTTCTGCATACATGACTTCTGGTTGAGTGACTGGGTGTTTCTCAGCTGTCATTACCTCAGGCTGAGAGGTTTGTTGTTTTTCTGCCATCATGGCCTCAGGTCGAGAAGGTAGTTCACGAGCCGAGCGGAGAGAGGAGATAAGCATGGGCGGACTTGTGGCTCTTCCTCCATCGGCTATAAAGTAAACATATAGAAATACAAATACTAATACTTTTCATCAAACAAAAAAAAATAAATAAATAAATGTAGAAAACAAATTGGCTTTGTAACTTAAGAAATTAAATAATTGAACCTAAAGGGGAAAAACAAGCTTAGAAATAAACAACTAATGTAACAATTCAGAAGTTTCTTAGAATACTTTAACATCATAAAAAATATCTATTAAGTCATACAATATGTACAGTAAAGACTATAAGCTCATTTCTTTACATTGACTACTTTCTTTGTTTTTCAGGTCACTGCCTCTCAACCAGAGTTTTGTGGAACCTTCGGGTTCCTATACAGACAACCAGGGTTCCACGAGATATTGCTATTTTGCAGGGTTTTTTGGAATGTAAAATTCTCCATATTCTATTGCGTAAATACATACTAGTCACATAATTGCAGTCCGACTACATCATATTCATTTATTAGTATAGCAGGTTTCATAATGACACAACATGACAACAAATCGCTGCATTGTTTTAAGTAAGTGAGCAAGACTAGTTACAACAGCTGCCAGTATTGCAGTAATGTTTTTTGTAATGAATGCTGTGAAGGGTTCCATGACACAAATTTGATGCCAGAAAAGTTCTATGGATTCAAAAAGGTTGAGAATCACTGTTTTAGGTGGACATTATGCGTTAACCTGACAATTTTTCTCATCAAAAAATAACTAAAACTTTCTGTTGTAGCTTATGCTGACAAATGAGCATATCTGTCTAAAATATTGAAATATACACATTAAAATGTATTTCATTTTAATTAATTATTTTATTTTCTATATAAGACATAATGTTCCTGATGCACTTTGCTACTATTATAGGAGGAAATATAAAGATGATTGGTATTATAATTGTTTAGAAACTCCATGTGTAATTTCAGGTTAATCTCACGAATGAGATGATAACAGATACATTTATGACAACCTCTATTTAAATAGTAGTACTTTAGTATTTTACAACAGACATTTAACTCAACTAAGTATAATTGACTGAGAAATCTCAACTCTAGATGCACAAAGTGGGTGTGGCATCTGTCAAGAGTTCAGAGAAATTTATTTCTCCTTTCTACAAATGTGTTCTAAGGAACTTGAAAGAATAATGTGTGAATAGAGCAATTAACCTAGATTCTTTATATATACGGAAGGTTAGCTTGAGCCAAGAACTGTTCAAACTACAAAGATACAAATTTAACATTTTCTGAACTTGTGGAGTGCGAGAGAATAAAACAAAACTTTAAGGTTTCTTTTGAACTAAAGGAATTAAAACTTAGATAATATAAGACTTTGATCTCTAATGTAAATTTTAATGCTGATTTCACTGATAAAAATTGATCATAAAATAGCTTAATTAAATTTTAAATGTAACTAAGTAAAATCTTGTGATATGCACAAAAAAAAAAGGTCACAGTAAGAAAGGAGTTAATGCATTTTATGTTTGTTTAATAGGTATATGTATCATCCACGGACTGAAGAAGGTGGAGAACAAAAATGTTAAGCAACACGTTTAAGTTATGTTGTGGAAAATGCAAGTTCAAAAGTCTATCAAGAGTTCCGATATTTCATTTCTTTGGTAGTTAACTTAAAACTTCTATTACATGCTTTATGACAACTGTATGAAGTTTGTAAAATTTTTCTTAAAATCTAAGTTTACCAAATAAGAAGAATTATAAAGAAGAGCATTAAGTATATTATACTAATATCATTTTAGAGCCCCACTACATTATTACAGTCCATGTCGCCATATCCAGCCATGTTGTATCTGGTGGCTGTGCATCTTGACAATAGCCCTGTAGTATATCTTCTATTGCAAATGGCTCTGTCATAATGTCAAAATTACACCTCTCCACCCCACAAGCTTTCCATAATCCTGACTTAAAATTTCAAAATTTTTTGAATATAATGTACTCAACCATGTATACCAAAACTTCTATCTTGACAAAACAGAGACTAGGTATGTTGTAATTCTGTTATGTATATATATATATATATATATATATATCTCACTAATATTTGATGCTATTAAAAATTAAAATTACTTTTTTAAATTCAAGTCTGTTGATTAGCCTCCTATCCATCAGTAGATAAGAGCTGTTGAAAACACTTTTAATAATATCATAATGAATGATTTATACAATATTAAATCAAAATTAGATGCTCAAGCATTATATACACAAGACTTTCCATGTTGAAGTCCAGACACACTGTCAAGATTTGATATTGGAAAAAAAAGGCTTTGATGAAAATAACATGTATCAAGTTGTAAATGCTAATATACACCCCTATACACTTCTTACTAGAAACCTCTATTGCGTCAGTAAAAAATGATATGATTAAAAACATTATCAACGTTATTGAGCAATAATATCACACGTAATATTGAAAGGTATGATATACTTTAACTGCTAGCTTAGGGCATTAAGTACCATCTGACTTGAGGTAATGATAACATACTAGGTGTTTGTCCATTCATCCATTCTAATCCTGGTCCCGTCTCCAGTGGAACTGTCCAAGATTCAGGGTCAGGTGACTTTACACCGGTCATTTCTTCAGGTGACTTGACTCTTGTAAGAGGAACATGACCTCCATGGGTTAGCTCAGGCAGTGGTGATGGGCCTGTACATGCCATTTAAAATGCATTATTAGTAAGAACAGCAAGATCTACCATAACCAGGGACAGATGTAATTTATTAACATGAAAGTTCAGGAGAGCTTGTGTCTTAATTTGTACTTCACGGTCCATATGTAGACAAGACAAAGTAATATAGGCTAACATACTAAACTGCTTCGTATTTAAAATAAACTGACTTTTCCATAGATTTCCACAGAAAATGTAAACCTTTCTGACAGGTTTCCACAAAAAAATTAAAATACATCAGAAGAAGGTTTTAAAATTTTTGTACATTCCACCTGTCTCTGGACATGACCACTTGATCTGTAAGCATTTCTTTATGTACTCAAAAAAATGTATTTGTGTATTTTATACAATTCATTAGTTACATTTCCAAGCATCTATCATTTTTTTAAATTTCATTTTTGAATTTGAATTTTGAACATAGTACTCACCAATCATAACAACCCCGAGATGCGCAAGATGGTGACTAGAAGTAAACAAAAAACCACTGAGTAAGAAATGGCCACATGATGTAATTAATATAAAAGAAAGGTATGAGGTGTAGTCCACATACCAGCACTGACAATGACCTCCAAAGGAATATGGAAATGGGTAGCCACGAACATGTTAGGTGATGGGTATGATGAGAAGTTACCCTAAAAAGGAGACACTCCTCAGGCAAAAGGGAAGAATACACATGCCCAATGAACTGGTGAATCTATCTTCTAAGGATAATGGGAGAGAGGTCCCGGACATTGAAGGATTCCATGGAATATAAGAATTGTTACAGGTACCACATAAGGGAGCAGGGCAAGTGAGATACCATCAGAGGGCCCGGACTGGACAGAGGAGAGATTCAGGATCAGAATGGTCATAAATGAGGGAAATGGGAGAAAAAGTGGAAATACCCTCCCAAGCAGCAGAAGTTTTGGGCAAAGATGAATGGTCAGGGAAGAGGAGAACATAAGAACTGTAGAACATCACAAAACAAGTGTCAATCACAAAGATCGCAGATCACCACAAGCCAATAATATGAGAAATAGGGAAACTTAATGAAATTAGATACAGGAAACACAAAGACAAAGGTTCAAATGGAGGATGAGTGAGAGCATGAAGGACAACATGGAGATTCCAATCCAGGAGAGACACAGGGCATGGAAGATGGAAAAGAGAAAACAAACAAAACAACATGGAAGATTGGAAGACAAAGGCAAACTCTGTAAATCTGAACATGCAAGATAATGCAGCTCGATAGTCGGCAATCGAGGAAACTGACAGTCCCCTATTGAAGAGCCAAATGAAAAAGGCAGTCAACTGTGGTAGGGAAGGTTGTGAAAGAAGATATCCTTAGTAGCGTGGCCACCAACAAAAAATATACCATTTATGCTGATAAACTGACAAGGAGGAAGGATGTAGAGAACAGGCAATCAATGAGGCAACATACCTGAAAAATCTGGATTGTCTGGTGAGGGACCAGATTGCTTGATGATCTATTGGTTGAGTTACACCTACTTAAGGTTATACATGTGAGCATGACCAAGGGGAATGAGAGCTTAGAGAAAAGTCCACATCCCCAAAATAGAGTCTCTTGTGTAGCAGGAGATGAAGAGGCCGATGTGCCATATCCTGTAAACAAAGGGAAGAAGGTTGGGCCCGACTGATGAATGAATTGAAAAACACACTCAGATGAATCAGATATTGTGTAGGTGTGAAGAACAACTTCCCCACTTTGTTGAGCCAACCCACTCTGGCAGCTTCTCAAAGAAGAAATTGAATATGAACAGCAGATTCGACCTGATAAGAAGCCAAAAGCAGCCAGTTGTCCATGTAAAGGTGGAAATGAAGGCTTCTGGCATAAAGCAGTCGAGTGAATGACCTGACTACTCAGCAGTAGGCATAACTGGCCAAGGTCAGGCCAAATGGTTGAGCCCAAAACTGATAAATATGCCCCTGATAACAAAAACAGAGGAAATGCTGGGATGTGCGGGAGATGGATGAGTAAAACCCCAGCTGAGAAGGTTCCCAAAGTTCTATAGCTTATTTCTGAAGTAAGTCCCAGACTACTTCCTGTAGATGCTGGTGAAAAAAACAGGATCCCTTGGTGGGGGGAAAAGCAATAGGATGAGGAAACAACAAGGAAGGGGAATGGAAGTGAAGGGCCAGACCCTCTGAAAGAACCTGTAGGACCCATGGTGTCCACATATGGCAAAAATGGAAAAGCCCGATGGGTGTAGAACAAGAAGCCAGGACTGGTAAAGTGTTGGACTGGTGGGGGGGGGGGTGCACTCTACATCTACTTGAATAGCATCCTGACCCAGAAGGTCCCAATAGCATATCAGACACATCTGAAAACCCAGAGATGAAAAGAGCAAACATCATCTGAAAACCTTTCAGGAGATAATTGAATTGCTTTGAACCAGCAAGTGCATAGTTGACAATGTACACAGTATTGTGGACAACATCAGTCTGATACAGAATTGAAGTTGTGAGAAATACACTAATGTAATGAAAGATTCCAAATGTTGGGAATCAAGATAAAAAAGGAAGATCTATAAAATGTATAAGCATGTTTGCAGATGTACGAGGCAAACTAACTCCAACTGAAGTTGAACCCCAACATCAGGTGAGGAAGGGCACACTAAATATTGGCCCACATATTTTTCAACAAAGGAGGGAAGGTTGAGAATCATAGGAAACAGGAGATAAGGATAAGGCAGCACAAACCTGATTAATTAATTTCACAAAGGGCGAAGGAGGTCGGCTGTCCAAAGTTATGTCTTTCCTGTCAGAAACCCCAGCAGGCATTACAGAGTATTTCTCATGGTGAAGGTTGCATGAACGTGGATATTTCTCGTTGAATAATTGCTGTCATGGCCACGGCCATAGGCGTCACACCCATTATAACTGGGGGGGGACCCCAAATTTCAGTCTACAATGAGGAATCTGAGGACAGACGAACTGGAATCCAATTACTTTCTCCAACCAAACTGATTGTGCAAGCTCAGAGTATTTTATATAATTATGACACCCTTAATGAGTTATGGGACTGGTCTTTGTCTCAGCCATTAGATAGTGATATGAAGGCCAGAATAATACAAGTTCAATCTCACATGACCCAGTTTGACTTCTTTTTGTGGTTTGGTAATGAGCAAACGTTTGTTACACCGTGCAGATAATTTAAGTATCAATTCACAGAAAAACAAAAGGACACATCTGCTGCCAAGGGTCAGTCTCTAACAAAAATGACTGTGAAAACACTGCAAAGCATGCAGAATGATGAACAGTTTAAGCTTTTTTACATAAACTGTGAGCAGAAGGTCAAAAAATAGATTCAGTTAATGATCCAAAACTTCCACGTCCTAAGACAGTTACAGCTTGTTTTGAGGAAGGGAAGGCTAAATGTGAATACTCAAATTTACCAGAGGATTATATTCAACAAATTTATTTTCCAGCTCTGTACCAAATAATAATGGCAATATGTGAGAGGTTTGAACACATTGATTTTAAAATATATGTCTATTCCAAACAGCTTTTTGATTAAAAAGTATGGCCAAGTACTGCTACAGTATCAGAATTCTACCAGTCAGATTTCACAAAATCTGAATTAGAAATCCATCTTCAGATTTTTTCTGTGAGTTTTCCAGAAAAAAAAGATGTGAAAATATGAGAAATATTTGATTATATTAAAAACCTTAGTGAATCAAAAAAGAACTGATTAATTATGTAGTAACACTGATAAATATAGTTCTCATAATGCCAGTAACTAATACAACTAGCGAGAGTTCTTTCAGCACTTTAAGAAAACTAAAAACCTACTTGAGGTCTACCACATCTCAATCTCATTTAAATCATGTAATGATGTTGAATATATTTAAAGAAAATGTCAATTCCTTATCTCTTATTGAAAGAGCCATTTAATTTGATTTATATTCACTACATTGTTTGGAACTATTTGGAAAATTTACAGATTTAGACCTAGTAGGATCTTTGGTTTTGAAGGAAAACGGGGCCACTGTTACCGAGTGATTTCAAGAGATATTGACTTCAATGCTTTACTAAATTTACTAGACTAAGTTGAAACAGTTTTAGCCGTATCTTGTGTCTAATAAAAATATTATCTATTTACCCATCTTTTCCTCAAGTTAATGTTCAGCTATACTTCACATACAACGAAGTAATCATAGTAATACTTTGAGTAAAATCACTTTTGACCATAACCTCAAAATTCTCTTGTAACTTACTACCGGTACTTTATACATATATGTCTAGTATTTCATATTCAGACATTTGACATCATCATTAAATCCACTATTTAATAATAAATACATGCGTGGTATTTTATTAAATATTTAGTAACAGAAAATATCTCTTGTCCTAATACATTCCTTTGAAAGCAATTTTACCCTCCAATCTGCCCCTACTGAAGGCTTGGTTGCCCCCCCCTCCCCATACCCTCAGGTAGATTCCAGTTTGTACCAATAGAGGGCAGTACTAACTGAGAAAAGCTATTTTGTGAGAAAACGTAAGATATCATTTCAGAATTTGGATTACTAACTGTGTTTCAATGCCGAGTTTATTCTTATACTATGATAATAAAGTAATTTGATTAAATTTGGAATGTAACTCAGTAAAATCTCATGACATGCACAAAAAAGAATGCCCGCATGGAAAGAGTTAAGAAAATTTTATTTTAAAGATAAGCTTCATAACATTCTGTAATTAAATCTTTATTGAACACCAACTTACTGTCTGTGTCTTTTCCATTGGCCAATCCATTCACTGCTGGTAAACTGTTTGGTCGTATAGGTTCTTTCTCTCCATTACGTGATGTTGGAGCCATTTCTCTTGCATCATGTGGTGCTTCTGCAGTACTTGGTTTTTCAGTAAAACCTCCAGTTATTTTGTCTTCTTCTTGTGATTGAGGTTCAAATTTTTGTGGTGATGGTACTATTCGATGATCCATCCCATCAATTAGTTCCTCCTTCACAGGCTTCATCGGTTCTGGTTTCTTTTCTCCATCCTGTTTTTCAATTTCATAGCTAGCTAACTCCTTGTTCAGTTTTTCTTTTTCATTTTTGGAATTGTCATTAAGTGCTGCCTTTAACCAAATACGGCCATCATCGCCATTTATCAATGGTGCTGAAGGTCGAGGTACTGGACGAGGTCGAACACCCGATGAATCCACAGTATCAACTGTCTTGGAGACAGGTTTAGGTCTTGAACGTGGACTAGCTGAAGCTGAAACTACGTAGTCAAAAAACATCTGTTTAAAAAAATTCTACTAAGACTCTCTGTAAGTCAATAATAGAATCAAAACAACTAAAATGGGACATGGTTAAAACCACTAACACAAATTACACAAGTCTTCTACGTTTCCTCCACATTAATGCTGAATGATGTTGATGCTAACATCACTGAAATGTTGAACCCTTGTGCAATTTATGTTAGTATTTTTAACCACGTCCCATGTTAACCATTTTGTTTTTATTATTGACTTTATAGCAGGATATCTCTATGTTTCATTAACAACTATATAAATGCAACTTGAATGAAAAAAAAGATAAAAAACGAATTTTATGTCTCTACCTGGTCTAGGAGCCTTTTTAGATTCTCCGCTACTACTAGGTCGCCCTCTTTCTTGACTTGTGGGATGCTGAGTAACACCATGTTTTACCTGCCTATGAGGAGACTTCTCCTTTTCTGGTAAGCCAATCATAGAAGATTCCATGGATACAGGCCGTGCTGTAAAAGAAATTTAACACTTTGAGGTACTAAAAAAGTTAGTATATTATAATCACCTTTCATAGGTTATAATACTAATTATCATTATTTTACCTAGTCAATGACTTACCTTATTTTTACCTCTTTCCTTTACTTACTAAAGATTAAAGACCAGTGACTGTCACTCTAGCTATTTCTTAGTGAAATTTGTAATAATACAAATAAAGGTGTATCAAATGAGTTGAAAATCTGCTATAGTGACAACCAACAGCAGATTATAAAGACAATCCATTACTGTTGTATCTCTTGAGTGAAAAAACCTGGTATGGTGGCAGCGGGTTAGAATGAGAATCCATTGTCTGAACCATAAACATTACTGTTGTTGTATCTCTTGAGTGAAAAAAACCTGGTATGGTGACAGCAGGTTAGAATGAGAATCCATTGTCTCAACTATAAACATAACTGTTATTGTACCTCTAGAATGAAAAACCTGGTACGGTTACTGTAGGTTAGAATGAGAATCCATTGTCTCAACTATAAACATAACTGTTATTTTTATTATCGTATCCAGTATAAATTATTAACAATATGGAATGTCTGTTATATATATATTCCTAGTGTGTAAAAAATTTCATGTCTCCTCAGTATTTCTTATTCTAGACTTTTGTTAATATTCATGAATCGTATCTTTCTTTTTTACAGTATCTAGCTTGTATGTGTTATATATTTTCTTTATTACAAGCTGTTTCTTAATTTTAGAACGTGTTCAGGGTGACTATTTTAATCAACATTTCGAAATTATTTTCAAAGTAAACAGGTAGAACAGTGAACAACAAGCTGTCCATGTTGTTGTACATTTAAAATGACCAGATGTGATAACATTAAGTAACCTTTCAGCTGAAAACTGCAACAACTATTATGCACTGGCAGCTGCTTTATCCAACAAGTTTGGAGTGATACGCCAGAGGGAAGTATGCAGAGCAAAATTCCAGAATAGGGTACAGAAGAAAAGAAGAACTTGTAGAAGATTTAGGAAGTTTTGCACAATTATCCTACCTGGTCGCTTCTTGTGAAATGACAGATTAGTTTGCACATGGCCAACTTGTAGATGTTATAACAGACAAGGAAGTTCTGCAGTTGGCAATAAAACTTGAATCCATTAAAGTCATAGATAAACAACTAAAGACACCATCTCAAAACTACAGGATCATCAGATTAAGTAGTATTGAAACATCCAGTTCTGCTGACAACAGTCTAGAAGAACTAAAACCAACAGCTGTTAACATAACAAGAAGACAATACCCCAAGAATGAGTCTCCAGCCAAACAATGTCAAAGGAACAACAAAGGGATAACCAGACATTCAGAAACAGAAAATAGCTGAACATTATTTAAAGAAAGTAGTCTATGAGCCCATAGGTATATTTATTGGTAACACTGTAGTCTGTTTATTGACATTGGTTCTACAACTCCAACAGTTTGACCCGACTTGGTAATGAAAAGTGAGAAATTGTTTTCAGAGATGGAGAAAGAAGAGAGAGTTATGCAAACAGCAAGTGAAAGTTAGAAGTTACCCTTACTAGGAAGTTGGACCATAAAATCCCTATGTACTACATGACAGTTACTACACCAGATGTTGAACTTTCTGTGACAATAATAAGAGCATTTATTGTTCCACCAAGAAGTAAAATATTCATACCAGGCTCTGTTTAAAATAAATTTACATCTAGTTACTGTGTTATAAAAGAACCAAATACTCTAATGTGTCCTGATGGTTGCTAGAACTCTTGTGGGTTTGAAGAACAGAGATGTTAAAGCCACGAACACAACAAACCATAAAATTCGAGTCAAATCAGGATGGGACATTTCAAGATGTGAGGCTATACATGTAGTGTTTTCATAGAAAAGAGCATCATAAGTAGTCATCTTTGAGGAAAGATGTAGATAGTGTGATGTCAAATCCTGACATAAGGACAGCTTACTGCTTCACAAGAGTTGTATAATTGGAGATGTGAAGGTCTTACAGCTGATAAATACCAGAGATTACATAACTTGAATACAGAATATCAAGACACTTTCTCTATTGAACCTCATGATTTAGGCCAAACAAATAAAATATTTCATTGGGTTCATACTTGAGATGTAGCCTTAATACATCACCCAGATGACATCCTCTTGCAAAATAGACTGATGCTTCCAGAGTTAGAAATCATGAAGGAGCAAGAAGTAATACAACTGAGGCCCAATCCATGGGTATCACTTACTGTACCTGTAATGAAAAAGGAAGGATCCACAAAGTGGTGCACAGACTACTGAAAAGTGAATAGTCACAAAGAAGGGTGCCTACCTACTGCCAATTGACAGTGTATCTCTACTTTAGATACACTTTCTGGATCAAAATTGGACCTTAAGAATGGATATTGGCAAGTGTGAATCAACAAAGCAAGTAGAGAGGACAGCTTTTACTGCAGGAAATGGATTGTGTAATGCTTCTGCTACATTTCAACAATTAATGGAGTGTGTTCTGTCTGAACTACATTGGAACATCGTAATTGCCTACTTGGATAACATATTACACATAGAAAGACCTTTGATAATACTTATAATGGGCTAACGAATGTTCTTGGTCAGTTGTCTATCAACAGGGGAGTCTCCTGAGAGACAGCAGAAAGGGAGTATCTACAGATCTATTGAAGGTTGGTTCTGTCCAGAATTAGCCAACACCAAAGAAATTGTGTGAGGTAAGAGAAGTTTGCTCTTATTATCAACGTTTTGTAAAATCATTCTCTCACATTGCTTCTCTTCTACACAAATTACTTGAAATGCCAAATAAGATTTCTTTAACTTTTAATTGTGAACTGAAGAAGAATTGGCCACTACTCCTGTATTAGTATACCCAACTCTGGGAGATCCATTTTTTAGACACAAGTACCAGTGGTTTAGGAATGGGAGCAACTTTGTCACAAGTAATGGTAATGAACGTGTGATTGTCTACTATATTAAAGCAACGAGTTTTGTAGAAAGAAGGTATTGCGCAACAAGAAATGAGCTACTATGTGTTGACTGAGCCTTAAGTAATTTTCATCATTATCTACATGAATTAAAGTTACTACTGATCATGTAACATTGAAGTGGCTAGTGAATTTTCGTAATCCAGAAGGCCAGACGAAAAGATGGCTCCAAAATTACAGGAGTGCAACTTTATAATTGTGTATCATTCTGGCCATAACCATGGAAATACTGACACAATATCCCAAAGAGCATATGCTACTGAAGAATGTAAACACTGTGAAAAAGAGAGAAGCACAAGATAGTAAAGACAACCAACCTAAAGTACAACAGTCAAAGATGGGATATCCACAAGTGATGATGAAGGAGTAATGTGATCCAACACTCGACTGAAAGACGCCCAGGCAATAGACAAGAGTTTGAAACCAAGTATTCAGTAGATGAAAAATAGTGCATAAAAACTCTCATGGCAAACAGTTGCTCCATACAGCCCAAAGAAAAAGATGTACTGGGCACAGTAGGATTCATAACACCTATAAGAGGACTTTGTATGTCAGAATAGGGAAGATATAAGTGGACAGAAGCAGTAACTACAGTTGATACTTCCACACTGTCTACATTCTGATGCACTTGTAATCTTCACTATCTTCCAATGACTACTATTGAAAAGACATCAAAGAGAGAGATAAATAAAGTGCTTCTATTGAGTTAGCTGTCAAGTATCTATAAAGCATTGGTGTAAATTGTGTGAACTATTCTATTAATAAAAACGTCTACAAAAGAATTGTCATGGACAGCTACAGCAGTACTGTGCTGGAGAACACTTGATAGAGTTGCTATTGATATGCTTGGCCCTCTGCCACATGGTTGTGATGGACTATTTCAACAAATGGCAAAAAGCATATGCTGTTCCTCATCAGAAAGCAGTACCTCTAGCAAGGAACCTTGTCAGTGAATTTGTTTGAAGAGTTGGTGTGCCCATGGGAATTCACTCAAATCAAGGATGGAACTCTAACTGAATAATTTTTGTTTTCAGAAATGTGTCAGATCCTTGGAATCAAAAACACTAGGACAACAGCCCTTATTCCTCTTTCTGACATCATGGTGGAGAGATATAAATGCACTCAATTAGCCATTTACTTGGATGAACGTCAAAAAATGTGGGATAAAAATCTGTTGCTACTACTTCTGAGTTACCAAAGAGCAGTACATGAAGCTACAGACAACATGCCATCATCACTATTGTTTGGGAGAGACCAATTGGAACTTCTGTACTTTAAACTGGAGAATGGTCACTCAGAAGAGACTTGTTTGTTTGGTAAATTTTGGGCAGAGTTACTCAAGGGCCACCTGTGATAGCAGTCCATAATTTGGAAGTGATAGGCTAGAGGGAAGGCAACTAGACAACACCACCCACCACTAACTCTTTTCCATTGTAAAGTGGAAATAACCATCATATTATAATGCTTCATGGCTAAAAAGGAGAAGTTGTTCTTCTTTGCCTTAGTTTGCTCAAAAGCATCATCTTCTGGAAACAACTAAAATTCTTTCAAAGGGCATGCTGACAAAAGAAGAGATTGATAAATATGTATCCACTCAAGAATATTATTAGTATCTGTGATTGGCTTTCATATTCTTTCTTTATACATTTTGTTCCTGCATCTCCCACACTAATTTTAATTCAAAAAAGTTCTAATATTTTGCATGTCCTGAAACTTAAAAGCTCCTTTTCCAGATCAGCTGTGGGATACTTCAGATTGAAATTTACTGAAACAAAAGAATGGATAGAACACTGGTTGATGATCTAGTGGGAAAGACTTATTCTTTTGCATAATCAATTAACAAGTGATATAAGTTAAAATTTAATCAAATTACTTGTATCTTACAGAAATAAAACATTATTTATAAGTAGAAGAAGACTTGTTACGGTTGAATTTATATACTAAAAACATACATGCATGTGGTCAGTAATTGTTACTATAAAACATGTAACAATCATAACGTAGCCTCGC